AGGTCATCAGGGTAAGAAAGTCATAAGAATGTGAATGTGCTTAGCTAAGATACATGTAACCGATAAGGACCCTTTAGCTATTTTACTTTAGCCATAACGTTCTTTAAGATAAAAAGGGGAATTCCTTTAAATGGAGCATGCACACAGTTGAGGTGGCACTATCTCTAAATGAACTATGCTCATTAACATAGTAAAAATTATACCCACCAGGGTCATCACAGTTTACAAATACCATGGCAACTCTTGGCTGTTACTCTATAAGGTCAAGAAAGGGAAGGGTTCCCAGTTCTAGGAACTCTCCAAGCCTTTCCCAGAAAATTGATGAATATTCTACCTACAGCTTAGAATATGATTAGAGATTAGCATAAAAGGAGAAATGCTAACCCTGGGATGGCACTGCTCCTTCTTGGATCTGTCCACTCTCTACCATCTTTGAAAGTGTACTATACTTTCTATACTCTAATAAATGTTTTCACTTCACCTGTGAGTCTGAATTTGAATTCTTTCTTTTGCAGAGATTAAGAACCCTCTCCACCAGGGTGGTGGTCCATGCTGGTATCAATATGATCCAGCAATGCTATTTCTAGGTATAAAGAGATATTTGTATCCCCATATTTGTTGAAGCATTAGTCACAATAAGACATGGAAACAACCTAAATGTACAACAATGGATAAAGAAAATGTAGTATATGCATTAAATGGAAGATTATTCAGATTTAAAAATGAGGTAAATGCTGTCATTAAGCCACAATGTGGATGAATCTTGAGGACATTATACTGAGTGACAGAAATCAGTCATAGAAAGTCAAATACTGTATAATTCCACTTATGTGAGGTATCTAAAATAGTTAAACCCATAGAAGCAGAATAGAATGGTGGTTGCTCTAGGTAGAAGAAATGGGGCATTGTTGTTAAATGGGTATAAGTTTTCATTATGCAAAATGAATAATTCTAGAGATCTGCTGTACAGTATACAGCCTATGGTTAGCAATAGTTATTATGCCCTTAAAAATTTGTTAAAAGAGTAGACCTCATGTTAATCATTTTTACCAAAAACCAGAACAAAACAAGGGACTCGGGAATTTTAATGCCAAAACCCATCTCTCATTGAGGAGACTGTCTAATTCCAAAAGTGTTAATCACCTGGCATTTTCAGTCTGTTACAGGTGAGAAAAGGAGTTTTCTTTGTTTCTAAGGCAATTGGGTTAGCAACAGATATATAATTTCTGATCAAACAAAAGTAGTTTTGGCTCATCACGGAAGGTGATGTTTGGGAATTAATGTTGCCAGATGAAATACATGCCATATTTGAGACATATTTATACCAAAATAATTATTTGTTGTGTATCTGAATATTTAAAATTAACTAGCCATACTTTTTTGTTTTGTTTTGTTCGCCAAATTTTGCAACCCTAATTGAAATAAGTTGAAGGCTGAGTGGAGAATGGAGCATTCTTAACATAAGAGTAGTCCATATTGGCTATGTGTGGAAACAGAGATAGAAGAACAAACTCTGATTTGTTTTGTGTTTTGGACAGGCGATATTGCCATATGTAGAAATGCTGAGGGGATAGATATAATTGAGAGTGAGAAATAGAAGAGCTGGGAGCATAATAAATTGAAGTAGAAAAGCCTGGAGGGCTTTTGACTCAGTGGATGAGGATGGATTGACTTTTGATTGTAGGCGAGACACCTGCATGATCATATGAAGAAGCTGGAGAGGAAAAATGATTCTTAAAGGAATGAGAAAAAATGTCAGGAATTTTGCTAAATAGAGAGTCAGATTTTAAGAAGACATAATGAAAGTGTTTTGGAGGCAGGGCAGGAGGGATGTGTGGAGCTGGCGAGGATGCAGCCAGTGAGCAGATACCTGATCAGAAGGGCTTACACTGTAGGAGGGAAGTATAGTAAACAGGAGTGGGAGACAAGATGAAATCAGAACGGAGGGAGAGGGCAGACTTGAGCCTAGTATAGCAATGTGCTCACAAGGAGAATAAAAATCCTTTAAAATAATTATATTTAACAGCTCCTTTTAAGTATAAAGTTTTTAGATGTGTATACACACAGACACACACAAACTTATTATTTACTTAAGGATAAGTCATTTAGTCAAAATTAAAATACTTTAAGTTCTTCAGAGGTTAATCTTTTTTTTAAGTTAAATATTGTTTAAAAGATTGTAAATGTAATTCTCTCTAAATATATTGAAAATAAATAAATATATTTTTAAAAGCTTGAGGTTATTAAATATTTTAGCAATTTTATTGCTGTGTACTCTTCTAATGCACATATAACTGTGGTAGAATTAACTATTGATTTTGAAATACAAAGTGATAGTTAACAGGAGGTAAGTTAATGGCTCTAGTTGTATAACGACCAGTTAAGTAAATCTTTTTGGACATAAAGGATAACAGATTCTACTTACTATCTTGAAGCTACAGAGTTATAACCATAGTTCTGTGCTTTGGGGTATGATTAATGAGCTCTATCTTTGGTGGTATTAAGAATTGAGTGAAAGTTTAACTACCAAAGAACACATGCATCACTCCAAGAAGAAACTGTACTGTGTACAATTCCCTTGGAGATAGTAGAGAATCTTAAGAAAAATAAGCACTAAAAAGTCAATAGTTGGATGTCTTCTAAGTAAAATAATTAAATAACTGTGTAATGAATCATTATAAATTGAAACTAGAAGCAAATTATAGATTTTTTTTTAGTTTTAGGCATAAAAATAATTTATTAACCAAATAATGCATGCTACTCTGAAAACATAAATTGAAAAATGTCAGTTAATTAGAAATCTACCTGAATTATTCTGGATTTTTATTTATAAAACTCTACCTAAAAAATAAAAAAAAAATAAGAATTAGAGAAAAAGGAAATTTATTGACATGCATTATTTATTTTTATGTATTTGTATGTTGAAATATCCACTGCACATTAAGGTATATGATCTTTTATTGGTGTATTTTTTTTTTTTTTTTGAGACAGAGTCTCGCTTGTTGCCCAGGCTAGAGTGAGTGCCGTGGCGTCAGCCTAGCTCACAGCAACCTCAAACTCCTGGGCTCAAGCAATCCTGCTGCCTCAGCCTCCCGAGTAGCTGGGACTACAGGCATGCGCCACCATGCCCGGCTAATTTTATATATATATTAGTTGGCCAATTAATTTCTTTCTATTTATAGTAGAGATGGGGTCTCGCTCTTGCTCAGGCTGGTTTCGAACTCCTGACCTCGAGCAATCCGCCCGCCTCGGCCTCCCAGAGTGCTAGGATTACAGGCGTGAGCCACTGCGCCCGGCTTATTGGTGTATTTTTAACCCAGATAGAATGGTATTAATAAAAATGTTTAAAAAATTAGTCTAGACCACTATAAACAAAATATATTTACCATAATATTCAGTCAGCATATTTTTTTCTCTAGTAAGTAGAGTACCTCTTTTTACTAATATTTTGAATGATTGATTTTTACTGATTCTGCCACTAGATATAACAGTATAAAATTGATTCAACTGTAATTTTAGTGACTTAGCTCTCCAAAACCATTCTAATGTACAAAATATACAGTTATATAAGTTTTATTAAAAGTCCCTATCATCTGTACACACCATAACATTGGCAGGGGCTGACAATGTTATTGATACACCCTATGATCGTGCCTTCATAGGAAAGTGATGCCTAAATTTGTCTTTAATACTATTTTTGTCTTTCAGATGACTTTAGTTTTTAAAAACGAATACAAACTCAAATAATAAAGGTATTTAATTTTATAACATTTACAAAAAGGTAAGTCATTTATTTATTAAACACACAAAACTAAACTCTAACCTAATTCTTGATTCAACAGTGAAGAGTTGCCTAAATTTCCAGTGACAGTGACCATTTTACTTCACATTTGCAACTAAAGGGACATTTCTCATGCCAGCTCAACCCTGCTTAAGACAGGAATGCATGACTGTAAATTAAAAATTGAAATTGGAATGCTCATTATGACTCATTTGCTTTTCTCTCTAGGACTATCAATTAATGATTATTTCCTTAAAGTAATTACATGATTTTATTGATTTTGAAAATTTTAGCTGTTATGGTTATGTCAACTTGGGAAGTCCAGTGGATTAGAATACCAATATACTTAGTAATAATTGTTGATAAGCTGCCTATTACTTTCTTCTGTAATTTATAGAGCATTTTCCCTCTATTTTATAGTGTTCTCTTTGGTCTCTAATGTATAGAATAAATTATGATATTTTAATGTGCTTACTTAAAAGAAGTTCTACTTGAATTATGATTATATTTTTTATGAAAAATAAACACATTGAAATGTCCTTATTTCATGTAACCATGTAACTTATTGTTAATCCAATGTAAAACCCATTATAAGATAAGTATGTACAGTGAAATCAGGTTGTTGACAATAAGGGGACAATAGAGACATTAAATTAACAAGAAGAGAAAAGGTTTGCTTTAATGATCTCAAAGAGTTATTTGATTTAGCTAGAAAGACTTGAGATAAGGATACTTTTCTGGTTAAGAGTTACCCCAGTCTTAACAGAAAGCTTTCAGACCTTCTATATAGGTGCCGCGATATATACCCAGCCCTGAAAACACATTATCATTTGCACAAAACAAAACACAACTCCCTTGTTCATAGTTTGTAGTTTGTGCTCAGCATAAGCACTACCCCTGACTCAGCTTCTTTCTCATCGTGGAGTCCATTACTGTGTATAAAACCTGGGAACCGTCCTCATTCTAAATCTCTTCACATAAGATTTTTATCAACTTTATCAGTATGTAAAATGTAACCCAAAAGGTGATTAATTTCAAACTTTATTATTCACTCAACAAATATTTTATAACATATATTTTAAACTCTAATGCCATGAATAAATTTAAAACTTTCAGGCATGTAAAAAAGATTCTATACATAATATCTGGAATCCAGTTCTGTGTATGTATCTTTCAATAAGATGAATGATGTCACAATGATCAAACAGTTCTGTCCAAGGACAATTGTTATTATGGGTAGAGCAGGCATGAAGCACTCATTGTGCTAAACAAAATAATACCTACACAATGATTTAGACATACAGGGAGGGCATTTTCTGGACTAACAGTGATTCTGGTTGCTCAAAAAGGGAGATTTTGGTGCTGGAAAACTGACCAAGGCTTCCAGAAGCTTCAGCAAAAGGTAAACTCTCTGTGTTGACTCCGTCTCATACTGGAAGCCTGTAGGCCATTGGTAGTCTGAAGCCAGGGTTGGTTGGTTGGTTAGCACAATGTTGTAGATCTAAATTGTTTCCCAGCATTCAAAAAATCAAGAGGTTTCTCATAACTACCAGGATTTCTATATACTCTTGAGAAACCAGAAACATGGCAAAACCAAGACCATTTTCTTAATTAAAAGTATCAACTGGAGCTAAGTTGGTATTTAGAAAGAACTGATGTTTAGAGCTGATTCTTTAGAAGGAACACTTACTCTCCAGCTCAGCACAGCCTCTTCTACTCGCTGGGTTGGCTCCTACACTGAGGCTGTCAGTCACCTTTACTAAAGCCTACTCTACCTCACCCATTTACAGTATGCCCAGCTACAACTCACAACCAGTGTGACCCCTTACCATAGTTAAGTAAGCTGCTATTGTAGTTACTAGGGCCTTATTAAGGATTTTAATTCCAGACTGTTTCCATCCTTCTAGAGCAGAAAATTCTCATTTGTTTGTTTGTATTGTTCTCAGGCAGTTGTCTATGCCATTGGTTACCCTTTCTCCCCAGGATTATTTCTTGTCCAAATACTTTTATGTCTATTTTAATGTTTTTCATACCATAAGGGACAAGAGAAACAAAGAGAAGTTTTAAAGAAGTTTAAACAGTTATAAGTGCTGATGTCAGAGGTAGAGATTAACATACTACCTGAGAATCTGAGCACTAGCACCAAATCTGTGCTTTGATAATGTCTGATCTTTTCTGTCAAGATCTCATATTTGTGGTGTATCTCACAAATGCTATGTTGGGAAGCATGTATATTAAGCACTTTTGCTCTTTCTACTGCTGAGTAATAGTCTATGGTATATATTGGGGGAGGTTCTTTATCTACTCATTTGTTAGTGGGCACTCAGGTTGATTCCATATCTTTGCAATTGTGAATTGTGCTGCGATAAACATTCAGATGCAGATGTCTTTTTGATGTAATGATTTCTTTTCCTTTGGGTAGATACCCAGTAGTGGGATTGCTGGGTTGAATGGTATTCCCACCAATAGTGTATAAGCATTCCCTTTTCTCCACATATGGGCCAACATGTATTTTTTTTTTTTATTTGTTAGTAATGGCCATTCTGATAGAGGTAAGGTGGTATCTCATTGTGGTTTTAGGTTGCATTTCCCTGATTAGTGATGTTGAACATTTTTCCATGTTTTTTGGCCATTTGTATATCTTCTTTTGAAAAAGATCAGTTCATTTAATTGGACAATCTTTTCCTTAATAGGCTATTTCAATATCTTTATCTATTTTGATTTATTTCTAATATATTTCTATTTTCTATGTATCAAGTTTGTTTTTCTTTGTCCTGTTTTTCTTATTTCCTACTCTCAATTTGATTGAAAAGTTATATATTTATTCTTTTTTCCATGTATCAGTTTAGGTCTAATCTTTTTAGTTACCATTATTTTTTTAAGGTACATAACAATGTTTGAGGTTAATCAATATCTTTATCCTATCAAATGATATAAACATCTTAAAATATTTTAGCTCTGAGCTCCCTAATCCCATCTTCCATATTATGGTTGTGTAGTATTGCAGAAATTTTGCATTTTTAGACCCTTCAAATTACGATTTTTATAGTCAACCTTTAAGTTTGCTATCAAATTAATATTTACTTCAGGAATTAATTTCATTTATCATTTCATTTTACACGTAAAGACTAAATTTAGCATTAAAATTGTCTTCCAGAAAGAACTACTAAAGGAACTATAAAATGTGAGTAAAGAATGAGTTGCAAGAAGGGATGGTGAGCAAATACATTTATTAAGATGCATATATTTTTTTAATTTGAAATTTTGTTTATTTCATTTCAGCATATTATGGAGATACAACGTTAAGGTTACATACATTGCCCTTGTCTCCCCTCCCCCTTCAAAAAATTTTACTTATAGTTTATTGGGATCAAAGCGAGCCTTTCATAGTTTTTGAATTTATTGAAGTTGTTTCTCTGCCAGATATCTTCTCGTTGTCTTTCTAGATTCATTCTTAACCCTCTCCCTGCTGCTTTCTGCCCTAGAGGTATGACCTATTTGGAATTACATCTATGAATTTCTCAGTTTTCTGGCTCCTAGTTGGTTTTGTCCATTGGTAAGCCACAGCAGAACAATGAAGGAAAGGGGATGAGTAAAGTCAAGGTGTTTATTTCCCTGCATCCCTTCCTGAGGAGCTGTCTGTGCCTGTCTGCATCCTTCAAGCATTCCACTCTGCTCAGCTATCTCTCTCCAGTTATCCTTCTGGATTTGGTAACTTCTCCTTTCTGCTGTCCTCATGTGCCTGCTGCCTCCACCCTAGGTTACTGCAGCATTCCTTGTAGTTTCATCTACTCCACTCCCACCCTTACAAATAGTCACTTTGTAAATGAACTCTCTTTAAATTATTAAAATTTGAGTGTGGGTTTTGTTCCTGTTGGGACATACAGATTGCAATTCTTTAAGCATTTTTTTAAGGGGCATTTGAAAGGAAGGGAAGTATATTTGTGATAGAACACAAACATCAAAGATATATAAGCAAAGTTCAACCTTATTAAATTATTCAAATCCTCTATATCTTTACTTTTATCCATTTAATCTATTATGCTCAAAAACCAATAGTGCTGTGTTTCAATCTCACTGTATATTTATGTATTTGTCCATTTCTCTTTGAATTTCCAACTGTTTTTAAAATAGATGTTATTATCATATATTTAAATATACAGAGAATCTTGATTCATAAATCCTTATTACAAATATTACTTTGACTTTTACTCACCTTCTTATTTCTACTTAGTTCTCATAGATATGTAATTTTTTAGATATTAATATTTATATTCCTCTCTTTTTTCCCTATTTGACTCATATGTATTTTTCTAAACCCTTATTCTTAATTTTTGGCATCTTTCTTTGTTTAAATTTGCTTCTTATATACACAACCTGAGATATTTTGTTTCTTTCAGCAATAATAACAACAAAAAATACTTAGATTTCTATGTACTAGACAATGTTCTAAAGGCTTTTTAAAATTAAACTAAATGAATCATTATTAGTAGTCAATGGGTGGGTATATTACAATCCTTTTACATGTGAGAAACTAAATCATAGAATTAAAAATGATGGCAAACTCTAGCAAACATTAGTCCAGGTTTGAACCCTCATGTTGTCTGATTCTAGATTATGTTTTCTTAGCCACAATACTGTACTTTTGGTTAGAAAAGGAAGTTAAGAAAAAAATAAATGGCATATCTGATACATGTAGTCCATCTTACATCAATAATATTGTCTTACTAGTGAATAAAGACAAAAATAATATCATATATTTACTTCTTGCTATTTAAGATAAGAAATTTGGTATGCTCTTACTATATGTCTCTCATTTTAGACTATGTTAATTTAACTTGGGTTTTTAGTAGAAAATAGTAATTATTTTTAATAAGACACTAAATGTAATAATATTTAAATGGTATTATTTTATTTTAAAACATTCTTTTTTTCTTTGCTTTAGTTTCATTTAGTCAAGTTTTTCCACCTATTCCAAAAGACCTATATCAATGTATTTTTAATGTATATCTCCCATATATTCTTTGTTTTCAATAGGATTTTCAGTGTTCTTTCATCTTTCTTATAATTTCATAAACATACATTATCTTTATCTATATGTGTCTATATATCTATATCTGATATAATTGGAAAACATATTAATGTAGATATATATAAAATAATATAAATATATATTTGTATTCTTTATATATCTAATAATAAATTTCTATTGGCCTTCACATATAAATTATCTGAGGATAGAATTCTCAGCTTATAAGCACATTTTTCAACTGCATTTTTCTCAAAACCAATGCAGCATTTACTATTGAAAATAAAAAGGCTAGCACAATCATGTTTCCATTTATTTGTGCGCATTTCGGTTTTGAAATTTTATATAAGTAAAATTTATCTTAATTTTTAAGTACATTAAGAGTTGTTGAGTTTTAATTTCTTAATTATATTAGAAAACAACTATAATGTTTTGGGTAAAAACTCATTTTTTTTTCATGTTAGGAAAGTTTTTTGCATATTTCTACTCAATTCTTTCTGTATAGTTTTTAATGACCATATTTTAAAGAGTTATTCTTGTATTTCTAATTTCTTGAAATCTTGGTTACAGTTTGTGTGTGTATATATACCTACTAATATAAAATATATATGTGACTTGTACCCATAAGTTTGTAAGTGGGATACAGCACTTGATCCAAAATTTGATTCTTTTACCTCTTAACAATAGAATTAATGAATCTCATACTATCAGTAGAGATTGCATATTCTGACAGATTTGGTTACATAGGTCAACGCATGTTTATTCAAAGTAAATTAATGAATTATAAGGCATGTGTAAATATAGACAGCTATCTCTATAACAGCCATTAAAAAACTACCTAGACAGAAAACTTTGTCTTTTTTTCTACCTCCTTTCTCCTTAGATCCCAGACAACAGCTAGTCCTCCTAAATATTATTTATAATAATAAAATGATAGATTTTCTAAGACTAAATCTATGGCCACTCATTCAGAATTGGAGTCATTTTTCTTTCTATACTCTATTTAATGTAAAACATTTATGTCTGGAGCAAATATTCAGGAGAAATGCTTTAAAAATATTTTGTGTTAAGTTAAGCCATGCATACTTTGGACCCTTACTATCATTATGTTCTGTAAAATTTGCTGTCTGTTTCTAAATTTTGGGAAAAAACATGGAATATTTTCTGAAATTACCACTTTTTAAGTGTAACCATTTTCCACTATTAGGGAAACATATTTTTTTCTGATACACAGCTGTGGAAATCTCAAATTTTGCCCTAATGTTTAAAATTACTTTTTCAGCTATTGAAATATCTCACAGAAGTTATGAATACAGAAGATGGCTGTCATAGATCAAGATATAGGAAAACACTAACCTAGTATGATTAATCATCTTTAATGTATACACTTAGATTTCAGTTTATACCAGGTTGCAAATAAAAGTCTGTAATGAATGTAGATGTGTGGAAAATGCTGATTGAGCTCAAGAAACAGCTTTTGTGCCATTAATCCTATCTGCTATGCGTGCTAAATATATCAGAGCTATAAAAAATATTGGGCACAATATTATATAAAAGAGACTTAATAAAATGTTAAAATTTAATTAATTTCATGTTTTTATATACATATAAATTAATGAATAAGAGAATTAATATAATCAAGTATAAAAATTTAGTGTTTTTGTTGAAAATATAATGTTTTTTCTACTAATGAAAAATATTGTTTAATAAGAATGAATCTTATAAATTAGATTTCTGTTCAATGTGTGTCTTATACAACAATCACTTTTGTAGGTGATTCATTTAACCTTTTAAACTTCTACATACACAAATGTACCCCATACTTTTAAAGTATTCTTGGAATTTTTTCTCAATCCCATGTATTTCATTAGACACAAACTCATAATTTAGTTATTCAAGTTACTACCGAAACATATATTTCCATTTATTTTTATCAGGACCTCTCTCCTAGAAATGTCCTTCCATACATCTGACTCCTGTACATTCTGAAACCCTAGATCAGGCCTCCCTGCTTTAAGTTGCCTATCATTATTCACTGTCCTTTTCTATATCTGAACAATACCACTTGCCCTTTGCAAACAATTTAGCATAAAATAGCAGACAGTGTGGTGTGGCAACAGTGATATATCCATACATTTAATTAAAAGAACTTGATTAATAATTTATTATTTTTAGTCAAGAAGTTTAGAGTATGTGCAAAAGCATGTAATGATGAATGTAGAAAATTAGTTTAATCCTGAAGAAATAATTGATAATGAAATTTATTAGAGTCAATTGATTAGGGTTCTAAATAAGGTAAAAAGATTATCACAGCAGGACATTGAGCAAATGAGCAAGAAAAATGAAGAGATTTTTTTAATCAATAGAGTATCTAATCAAATTTGTTTTTCAGAAGGATAATTTTGTGAGTATATTTTTCATTATACTTAATTTCTTTACCAGAAATACAGCTATCATTTTCTTTTTAATTTAGAAGTTTTCTTAATTCCGTTTCTTATCTCTTTGACTATCTCAGTTTATCAGATGTAATGTTTCCTGATAGTTGTCCCTAAATTAAAGCCATAAAAAGCATCAGTATTATAGAAAGCAATGATCCCAAAAATAATAAAGAATTTCAGTACTTGATGAGATCTCATTGCACAAAATAGTTCAGTGCAATTTTTGGTGTTGCTGGGAGGAAACAATGAAACCATTCAGCAGAAGCAAATCGGATCTCAAGATTGAACTAATACTCCAAGGAATATTACAAGGGACAATGTAGAATGTGTCATGATATGATCAATAGGAAATTGCATTTTAAAATTTAACTAAGTGAGGACATCTTCCTGTAAGAGAGAGTGGAGTACACATTTCGAATTAATGTAGTACAAAGGAGAACAGCAAAGAGCTATAACTTGTCATTGTTTTAACTCTAGAAGCATAGTTTCTAGAAATTAATGGAAGGGAAAAAATTTCTATAAGTATCTACTGGAGAAGTTTGTTGTGAAAGGATAAACAAAAACAATGCCTCCAAAATATCAGCAAATCAAGCATTCACGTAAATTACATTTGAATTTAAACAAAAGGAGTTAACCAAATCCTAATGTAAATGGCCTAAAGAATCAGTACCGCAGAGGCTTAACAAAAGTAGAGATCATTTGAATCCGTATCCTCTTGTCCCATCAAGTAGGGTGCTTGAAAAATGTTATATCTGCTTAGATGATCCATCTTACATTCTGGCCTCAATATAGCTGCCACTCCATCTAAGGCTCTCATGCCTCTGGTCCCATCCTGAGTATCAGTATTACTTAAAATTGTGCCAACCCGTGGTCATTTGCTTTCATTTTTCTTGCTCATTTGCTCAATGTCCTGCTGTGATAATCTTTTTAC